CAGGACATTCTCCAAGAGTACGTTCAGTTCAAGGCAAGTGCTTCACTCTTCATGGAAAGTACTTTGTAACTTTTCTGATATTTACGGTAATACGTTAACTGTTTTCTTTATTGATAGCAAAAATAAAAAGGGTACTTTTTGCAGTGTAATTAAATGTTCTATAGTATAACAAGGAAATTGCCTTCCTAAAGGGGATTTGTGTATAATACTCACAATTCAATATATAATTAACTAAGCAAATAATTTTATTTTTTTATTTATTATTATTATTTTTTTGACCAGTAAGGGGATCGCAACCCTTGGCACGGTGTTGTCCACACCACGCTCTGCCACTGGCCATCCCCATGTAGGATCCAAACCCGCGGCCTCGGTGCTGGTACTCTCCCGAGTGAGCCACGGGGCCGGCCCCTAAGCAAATAATTTTATTTTATTTTATTTTATTTATTTATTTATTTATTTTTTGTCTTTTGTCTTTTTCCGTGTCCGGCAACGGATCACAACCCTCAGTGTTGCCCCCGTACCGGACTGGGGACCGGCAACGGGATCGCAACCCTCGGTGTTGCTCCCGTGCCTCGCTCAGCCAGTGAGCGGGAACCGGTCTGTATGTGGGATCCGAACCCTCGGGCGGGAGCGCCGCTGTGCTTCCCAAGCGGCGCACTATCCAGTGTGCCACCGGGCCGGCCCAGTAAGCAAATAATTTTAAATATAATAAATAATAAAGACTGTTCTGTGGATAGTGGTGTTTAATACATTTTATATTTTGTATAGTGATTTCAGGCTTTTTGTTTTCTTAAAATCAGCGGCTAGTTTGCCTAATTCTTAACATTATTTTGTCCTTTGCATGAGTACTTTTTTGTGCATGCTTTTTGTGATCTGTTTTAAAAATCTACAGTGCCAACATTGCAGCTCGAACTTAAAACTTGTTTTTCAAATGAACATTTAATTTCCTTTTCTTTTCTTTTCTTTCTTTCTTCTTTTTTTTTTTTTTGATGGCTGGCCGGTATGGGGATCCAAACCCTTGACCTCAGTGTTACCAGCACCACACTCTACCAACTGAGCTGACTGGCCACCCCCTACTTAATTTTTTTAATTGCACACAAACACACAAAAAAGGAATTTGAGGGGCCAGCCCATGGCTCACTTGGGAGAGTGTGGTGCTGATAACACGAAGGCCACGGGTTTGGATCCCTATATAGGGATGGCTGGTTAGCTCACTTGGAAGAGCGTGGTACTGACAACACTAAGTCAAGGGTTAAGATCCCCTTACTGGACATCTAAAAAAAAAAAAAAAAAAGGAATTTGAAATATCAGGAGTGAAGAACAGAAGGAGTAAATAAATATGGGTAAATGTAAAAAACTATCCTCCTCTTGAGTTTTCTAAATTATTTTAGACAGTTAAAGCAAGAGTTATGACATCTGATGTGTTCTCAATGTATGTAGGAGAAAAATTGGAGACAATTATACTGTAAAGGGGAGAGGGTAAAGTGGCCTAAATGGAAGTAAAGCTACACTTTGCTCAAACTAGCAAAGTGTTGACACTAGTAGACTGTGGTTACATATCTATAATATAATACCTAGAACAACCACTAAAAGAATCTGTACAAAGAGATATACCCAAAAGCTCTATAAATCGAAAAATTCAAATAAACCACAGCAAGGCAGGAAAAGTGAAACAGGATCAGAAAACAGAAGGAACAACAAAAAACTTACAATAAAATGATAAGTATAAGCCCTAACATATGAATAATTACTTTAAATATATTTGGTCTAAAATGCCAATTAAAAGACAGACTGGTAGAGTGTTTTTTAAGAATGACCCAACTATATGCTTTAAATATAATGATATAGGTAATCTGAAAGTAAAAGGATGGAAGTGAATATACCATGCAAACATCAATCAAAAGAAAACAGGAGTGATTATATTAAGATCAGATAGAGTAGACTTCAGAGCAAAGAAAACTACAGGGACAAAGAAAAGCATTACATAACAATGAGTCAGTCTACCAAGAATATTTAGCAACCCTAAATATTATACACCAAACAACAGAGCTTCAAAATGTTAAGCAAAAGCATGGGCCGGCCCGCTGGCGCACTGGAGAGTGTGCCGCGCGCTCCCGCCAAGGGTTCGGATCCCATGTGGAGACCGGTTCCCGCTCACTGGCTGAGTGCGGTGCGGGCGCGACACCGAGGGTTGCGATCCCCTTACCGGTCAGTAAAAAAGACNGCTCACTGGCTGAGCGCGGTGCGGGCGCGACACCGAGGGTTGCGATCCCCTTACCGGTCAGTAAAAAAGATGAAAAAAAAAAAAAGTTAAGCAAAAGCAGATAAAACTGAAAGAAATAAACAAGTCCACAGTTATACAAAATGCAGACTTTAACACCCATTTCTCAATAATTGATAGAACTACTAGACAGAAAATTAGCAAGGAATTAGAACTTAGAACACTGTCAATCAAAAGGATCTAATTGAAATTTAAGACCACTGCACACAACAGAATACACATTCTTTTCAAGCCCACAGAATATTCACAAAATTGATCATATCCTGGGATATAAAACAAATTTAAAAGAATTGAAATCAGAATGTGTTCACTAACCATAATGGAATGAAACTAGAAATCAATAACAGAGAGAGAATGAAAATCTCCAAATACATGGGAATTGAATGTGTTCTTAAATAATCTCTTAAGTCAAAGAGAAGGTCTCAGTGGAAGAAAAATGCATTGAAGTATAAAACCACCTGCCTTGTGGCTGGGATATGAGGATTGAGTGGATGGGCATAAGAGAAGTAACCCTCTTGGTGCCTGGTGGCACCAGCTCGCTGTGGCCATGGTGCTGCTTACAACCCATCTCTTCCTGAGACTTTCCTAAGATTCCTGCCCTGCCATTCTACTTGCTACCTTTGTCTTTTGCAGTCTTTTCCTGCCATCTTAAGTAATGTCAGTGATCCACCAAGGTGCCCTTTTGGCCTCTGCTTTTCTCCTGTTTTATTTACTTGCTTTGCAAGGCTAAACTCCCAAAGCTTCAGTACCATCTCCAGGTACTGTCAGGTAACCCTCAGACAGTTCTCTTCAGCTTGACTTTTTAACATGTGCCTTGCAAGGCCTTGGAAATGCCTTCCGAAGCTGAAGCAGGGAGGACCTGGTATTGTCCCTGAGTTTCTCAAGTTGGATCCTACATTCCTCCTTTCACAGGCGGCAGCTGCCACCATGGCCACTACACTCAGTCTCTGTTCCTGCTCTCTCTTGCTTGAGTTAAAGTCAATAGAAGCTTTCCTCGGGAACTTCTGTAGTCACAGGAAAGGGTAGCACTCCTTTCCTCTTTTGAATTTCAGGGCTGTTTGCTTGCTTCTGAGCACTTGCTGCCTATGGGAGTTCCCTCTTCACTGCTCCATTGGAAACTCCCCAAAGGCTGGGTTGGTTTCCGATGCTTTTTTATACACTCACAGACACAGGAACTGGCCTTGTATGGCATGAAAAGAGATTTCTGGGAAGTGTGAAAGCATACATAGAAAGGGTTGGAACCCAAAAAGATGTCACTTTAAGAGATAGCTTGTTTCCTTTTCAGCTAGAAATATAGTTTGCTGTTTCAATTGTAATAATCTTTGTAGCATTATAGGTGGATTTATAAAATATTATTTTTTGACAATGCCCACTCCAGCATAAGGAAGGGAACTTTATAACTCCCATTTTTTTGGACTTCAAAAAAGCAGTGGCAGATGATGCAGCCCACTAGAGCAATCAGAGATTGAATGGCTCTTTTCAAGCAGAGAGGAAAATGGGGCAGAATCTGGCTGAATGCCAGAGAGCAGACATTATTTAATTTAGGGAGGGAGAGTAGGAGTCCACTCTTGCCCACACTAGGAGTGTAGGTGACTTCTCTTGTTAGGCAGATGAACCATGGCATGGGATAGGGCCTGTGAATTCTGCAGCTAATGGAATATGCGCCAGCGAAACCCATTTAGACATCTCAACTCAGTTGTCTTCTGTGTGATTTCTCCCCCCATCCCACTCCTGCCTTATTATCAAGAATGCTAAATTGTCAAGGGTTGGTACCTCTGTACTGGCCAGCCTCCAAAAAGAAAAAGGAATGCTAAAATAGCTAACTAACCTACACCTAAACAACGCCCTTATGCTTTTGCTACTATTTTTCATTCTGCCAGCCTGAGGTGGAAGAAAGGTACAAATCACCTTGATACAAGTAACTGCTTTCCTATTTAGGAGCCTAAGACTCCTAAATGGCCTAAGCAATTAATATTCTCCTGGCTGTGTGTCCCTCCCCACACATGTGTACACATATCTGAGAAGTGCCTGGCTATAGCTTTGGTTAACTGTCTCCTGATCAGAATCATTGACTTGCTGGGGTCAAGGTACCTTTCATATGCCTACCTTCTATCTTGAGTATCCTCCCCTGTCTCTTCATTAATTTAAATTCTACTCCTTCAGGCCCCAGACAATTTTATTTTTGTTTCAAAATTATCTTTGATCACTCCTGCCTACTGTGACCTCCCTCTCCCACTTCAGTTCTGTGGCACTTGTCTTCTTTAGTTTCACCTGGCATATTTCATATGCTCCCTTGACTGTAAGCTTTTTATTTCTATATATATTGCCTCTCCATTAAGATTGTAAATTCCTTGAGAGCAGGAACCATTTGACTGTCTTACTTCTCCCTTTTTTGAAAGGGTGTATTTTGACATTAAACAGTGACTGTGAGCTCACATATGTTTGATTAGGAGTTTTTGTTTTGTGTTCTATTTATGACCCACAGGTGGCACACATTGAGCACTAGACAGTGAGCAACAGTAGGTAGGGCATCTGTCTGTTGTAGGCTACAGGTAGGTCTTTTTCTTCCAGTGATGACTCTGAGATTGAAATATCATTAAACATTCAGTTGACACAGTAACTTCCATAGTCCTCTAATATTTGCTGTGGCCCAGTTAAATAAACTGTAAATGTTCTCTTACACAGGTAATTACTAGAATTTTTATATTCTTTCTTGTAGGACCGGGTGACTTTTAGAAGAATCATAGTGAAAAACAATGCAAAAAAGAGGAAGATGTTTGAATCATTTATTGAGTCTGTGCCCCTCCTTAAATCACTAGAGGTAAAGTCTGTTTGAACAAGGGTCTGTTTATTATGTTTATGGGGATTATGAAACATTGCAAAATTATTCTGTTGTTAGGTTTTTAAATCATATTATTCTAGCCCGTTTCTGTCTTGTAGAGATGTTCAATTAAGGTCTTTTTCCTTCTAATTTGTGAGTGTGTCCGTTGTTTCAGGTGTCAGAACGAATGAAGATTGTGGATGTAATAGGAGAAAAGATCTATAAGGATGGAGAACGCATAATCACCCAGGTGAGCAGGGGTGGGGGAGGCCTTTCACAGCTCCTTTCCTGGAAATCACTACCTGAATGACTTAGTGCATCACTTGTCTCATAGGATTTTTTTCTTCCCACTGTTGGGAGCTCATGTTGCAAGGTACTAGGTCACACTCTTCCTGTAGAGTCTTCTGAAGCCCATGGTTGTCCATCTCACTGATATATGCTGATCTCTTCCTTCCATTAACCTTTCCTTGGCTTCTGGTATTTGTTCTTTTGAATGTCAGTTTCTTTTCACCCTGAGTAAACTTCATTCATTGCTGTTAAAACCTAGGGAAGGTTGGAGGGTTGTGTCCTCTACCTTCTCACATTTGACACAAAGGTATCCTCTTGGCTAATCCAAAACAAACAGGAGTCCTCAGTCTTTGGTGATTAACCAGATTTGTAAGATGTCTTTAGTATTTCCTTTGTGCCTTTTTCTCATGATATTTTTGGATACTATAAGGATCACCATATAGTGGGCTAGACCATTGTAATGAGTACTATGCAGTAATTTTCTTTGTCTACTGTGTTTGCATTTTTAATTATACATCAGTAGTATTAGAGACTTTTATAGGTATAAGCTTCTCTGCCTATGGTTCTGAGAAGATCACTGAGATATCTGGTTGGTCTGGGTTGGGTTATGTGCCTATTCTTGAACTCAGTGCTGGGACTAGGGGAAGGAAAGACTCAGATTGGTCAGTCCTGAGTCCCGAGCCCACCTCTGGGTCCTACGGGTGGAGTTGGCCCCATCAGAACCATGAGGACTAATCAGGCTTATCATAAAAGAGGAGAGGGAAGTGGAAGTACCCACTGAAAGAGATAAAGAACTAACAAAAGTATGATGTCTACTCTAAGTAACATCTCTACATGTCTGTTTTCTAGGTGCTACTGCTAATAATTCTTTTAAATTTGAAATTGGTTTGATTCTATAAACATTTATTAAGATAGACAAGTAGGACCAGATATAATAAAAACTATAATGAAGGAGCATATAGATGACAGTGAGAACATAGAAAAGGAAGTAATCCATATTATTTCATGGAGGAAATGCCATTTGAGTTGGGCTTAAAGAATAAGTACAGTTTCAGCAGTTGGGGTCAGGAAAAGGTCTTTCAGGGCAAGAGAACAACATGAGCAAAACCAGTGGTAACTGTGTTTCAAGGCAGGTATCCTGGTATGGCAAGAAATGTAGGGCTGAGTTGCAGAAATGGGAACTGTTGAGTAAAGGTTCATTTGCTTCTGAACCTGGGGAGCTTTTAGTAATTTTCATAGGACCTCCACTTTATCCTGAAGGTTCCAGGCTTGTGTCTCTCACACTGGGTTTTCAGGAAGTGTGTCAGGAGATGTAAGAAACCAGTGTTTGCTGCGGTGTCTGTGCTCTTGAAAATAGGAGTGCTAAGGTACAGAAGGGACATGAATTAAGATGATACCCAGCTTATTATAGGCCAGTTTTAGCAGTGTGTCTAGACGAAGGGTTCTCAAAGTGAGTTCCCTGGACCAGCATCATCAGCATCATCTGGGAATGTTAGAAATTGTTAGAAATGCAAGTTCTTGGGCTCCATGCCAGACCTACTGTCCTACTGTACCAGAAACTGTGTTTTATGTTGTTTTGTTTGTTAGTGATGATGTTCGTTTGTTTTGGTCAGCTCTTTTGTGGTCTATTTTACCAGGTTGAATCCCCATGCCAGCCAGCCATAAAAAAAAAAAAAAAAAAAAAACCAGGTTGAAGTGTACAATTGAGTTTGTAACCATCCCCACAATCAGGCATCACCCCAAACAGTTCTCTGCTTTGTATTTGCAGTCAGTACCCTCCCTCATACCCTCATTCCTAGAAACCACTGATCTGCTTTCCATCACTGTAGAAATTCCTTTTCTAGAATTTCGTATAAATGGAATCATACAATGTATAGTCTTTTGTGTCTGGCTTCTTTCTCTTAGCATAATATTTTTGAAATTTTTCCATGTTGTGTGTGTTAATAGATTGTGCCTTTTTGTTGCTGAGTAGTATTTCATTGTGTGGATGCACCATGATTTGTCTTTCCATTCACCAGCTGAGGAACATTTGGGTTCTTTTTAGTTTTTGGCAATTACGAATAAAGCTGTAGTGAATATTTGCATATAATTCTGTGTGTACATATGTTTTTATTACTCTTGTGTAAATACCTAGGAGTGGAATTGCTGAGTCATATGGTAAATGTATGTTTAACTTTGTAACAAAGGGCCAAACTGTTCTTAAAACTCCTACCTGCAGTCTAGTATTCCGCTTGCTCTGTATCCTTGCCAGCACTTACTGTTGGTAGACTTTTTTATTTTAGTTATTATGGTGGGTATGAAGTGGTACCCCATTTTTGTTTTAATATGCACTTACCTAATATCTAATGATGTTGAGCATCTTTTCCTCTGATTTCTTAACATCCATATGTTTTCTTTGGTGAAGTATCTATACAGATCTTTTGCCCTTTTAAAAATTGGGTTGGAAAGGGAAGATTCAGCTAGGAGAGCAAGCAGGGCGTGGGCATCAAATCAGAAAGGGGTGTCCCGGGGCGAGCCCGTGGCGCACTCGGGAGAGCAGCAGCGCTCCCGCCGCGGGCTCGGCCCTAATTTTAATAAAATATTTTATTTAACCCAATATATCTAAAATATTACCATTTCAGCATCTAAGTGATATAAAAATATATTAGTGAGATATTTTACATTTTTTTTTGTTACTAAGTCTTCAAAATCTAATGTGTATTTTATACTTATAGCATGTCTACATTTATACTAGTGACATTTCAAGTGCTCAGTAGCCCACAGGTGACTAGTGGCTACTGTATTAAACAGTGCACTTCTAGACTTTCAGTTTTACCTTTAGGTCTGTGATCCATTTTAAGTTAATTTTTGTATATGGTGTGAGATTAGGGTTTTGCATATGGATGTCCAATTGCTCCAGAATGATTTGTTGAAGAGACTATCCTGTCTTATTGCCTTGACATATTTATTGAAAATCAGTTGGCCATATGTGTTTGGGTCTATTTCTGGTCTCTCTTCTGTTCCATTGATTTATGTCTGTCTCTATGCCTGTACTACACCGTCTTTATTACAGTGGCTTTATATAGTAAGTCTTGAAATCAGATAGTTTAAACCCTCCAAGTTTGTTCTTTGTCATCATTGTTTTTGGCTATTCTGTGTCCTATATAAGTTTTAGAATTAGTTTTTTAATTTCTACCAAAAATGCCTACTAAGATGTTTTTTTTTTTGCTGACTGGTACAAGGATCTGAACCTGTGACCTTGGTGTAATAAGGCTGTGCTCTAACCAACTTAGCTAACCAGCCAGCCCTTGCTAAGATTTTTGATTGAGATTATGTTGAATCTATAAATCAATTTGGGAAAAATTCACATTTAACAATAGTGAGTCTGATTCATGAGTATATATCCATTTATTTACATCTTTAATTTCTTTCTGTAGTGTTTTGTAGTTTACAGTTATAATGTTCAGGTCTTGGACACCTTTGGTAAATTTACCACTGGATATTTCATATTTTGGACACTATTATATATGAGTGTTTTTGTTTTGGGTTTTTTTTTTTTCCCCGAATTTCCAGTTGTTTGTTGCTAGCATATAGAAATACAGTTGAATTTTGTATATTGATCCTGTGGCATTCTACATCCTTGCTAAACTCACTTATTAGTTCTAGTAGCTTTTTTGTAAGCTTCCTTGGGATTTTCTACATAGATAATTATTTTGTCTGTGAACAAAGATAGTTTTACTTCCTTTCTAATCTATATGCCTTTTATATATATGTATATGTGTGTGTACATATATATATATTGGTTTTTGGTTTTTTTGCCTTATTGAATTGGCAAGGACCTCCAGTACAATACTGAGTAGAAGTAGTGAGAGCTAGCATCCTTATCTTGTTCTCAATCTTAGGGCAAAGTATTCAGTCATTAACTAATTAAGTATGATGTTAGCTATAGGACTTTTATTTATTTATTTATTTATTTATTTATTTATTTATTTATTTTTAAAGATGACCGGTAAGGGGATCTTAACCCTTGACTTGGTGTTGTCAGCACCACGCCCAGCCAGTGAGCGAACCGGCCATCCCTATATGGGGTCCGAACCCGGGGCCTTGGTGTTATCAGCACCACACTCTCCCGAGTGAGCCACCGGGCCGGCCCAGCTATAGGACTTTTAGAGATCAGTTTGGGAAGAATTTCTTAATCACCTTGGGAAGATCCCTTCTATTCCTATTTTGCTGAGAGTATTTATTATGAAAAGGTGTTGAATTGTCAGATGCCTTTGCTGCACTATTGAGATGTTCACCTGGTTTTTCTTTTTTAGTTTGTTACTATGTGAATTACATCCATTGATTTTTAATTATTAAGTCAAACCTGCACCCTGACTTGAACCCTACTTGGTCATGGTATATTATTTCTTTTATCTATTACTACATTTGATTTTCTAAAATTTTGTTAAGGATTTTTGTATCTGTTTATGAGGGATATTGGTCTGTAGTTTTTTCTCCTTGCAATATCTTTGTCTGGTTTTGGTATCAACAAGACCTCCAGGTGATATCATTGTTCACCAGGGTTTGAGAACCACAGCTCTAGAGCAATCCAAAACTTGATAATGCCTTCATATTAAGAATACTTAGTGGCAAAGTTTGAGGAATACTTTCAAACGTTTTTGAGAGGTAGAATGACATGATGAGTATTGTATTTTCAAAGCATAGTTATGGTATCAGTGGAAAATAAATTGCCTTTATTTAGCTTTATTAAGTAATCAAAGCAGTGAAAATGAAAAACCACAATAAGGAAACTTTTTTATACCCATTAGCTTGACAAAAAGTAGTACCCATTAGCTGACAATTCCAAGTGATATAACAGGAACTTTTATTCACTGTTAATAAGAGAATAACTTAGCTGAACCCCTTTGGTGAGAAATTTGACCTTATCCTGTAAAGTTGAGTTTATTCTATAACCCAGAAGTTTCTTGTCTTTATATTTACAGAGAAAAACTCACACCTCAGAAACCACCCCACTCCCATGAGTTCCTTCCCAGTCACAGTCCCTCCCACCTCCCTATCCTGACTTCTCTGGTACTCACGTATTTGCTTTTCCTATAATTTTTACCACTAAAAAATATGGCTAAGTCTTTTTTTTTTTAATTTCTACGATTGAAATTACAGTGTATGTATTCTTTTATTGGCGTCTTGCCTCAGTTGTTCATTTGCATTTTTGTGTGCAGCCATAGTTTGTTGGTTTTCTTTGCTGTATAGTATTCCAGTATGTGAGTATAAGCTATTTACCTTTCACTGCTGATGGGTATTTGGGGTTTTTCTAGTTTTTAGCTATTATGGATAAGATAATTCATAATTATCTTCAGTGATTACATTAATTTGATTTTCAAATGTTAAAGCAACCTTGTATTGCTGAGATAAGATAAACCAACTTGGTCACTGTGTAATATCCGTTTTATAAATTGCTGAATTCAATTTGCTAATACTGTGTTACTGAGTGAGATTGGTCTGTAATTTTCCTTTCTTATACTACCCTTGTCAGCTTTTGATATCAGGGTAATGTTATACTCGTAAAGTAAGTTATGTCCTTTTTCTGTTATCTTAAGAGTTTGTGTAAGACTAGAATTCCTTGGATATTTTATGGAACTTACCAGTATTTTCTTTGTGGAAAGATTTTTGGGTACAGATTAAACTGTGATAAAGTATTCAGATTTTCTATTTCATCTTCAGTCTGTTTTGGTAAGATCTGTTTTTCTAGGGATTTGCCCATTTCCTCTAAAATTCAATATTATTAGCATAAAGTTGGTCATAATACTCCTGTTAATGTCTGCAGCATCTAGAGTAATGTTCCCTTTTTCATTCGTTGTGTTTTTTGGTACCATCTTTTTTCTGGCTTAGTCTTGCAAGAGGCTTGTAAATTCTTTCAGTCTTTTTGAAGAACCAACTTTTGCCTTTTATTAATGCTATTAATTTCGTTTCTTTATTTTTATCTTATTTCTTTTTGTTACTTTTTTCCTATTCTCTTGAATTGGATGCTTAGCTTTTTACTTTTCAGCCTTTCTTCTTTTCTCTTTTTTTATTTATTTATTTTTTGTGTGTGTGTGACCGGTAAGGGGATCGCCATCCTTGGCTTGGTGTCACCAGCACGGCGCTCAGCCAGTGAGCCACCAGCCATCCCCATATAGGATCCGAACCCGTGGCGGGAGCGCCACTGCGCTCCCAGCAGCGCACTCTCCCGAGCGAGCCACGGGGTCAGCCCCATTTTTTTTTTTTTTTTAAAGATGACCGGTAAGGGGATCTTAACCCTTGACTTGGTGTTGTTAGCACCACGCTCTCCCAAGTGAGCAAACCGGCCATCCCTATATAGGATCCGAACTCATGGCCTTGGTGTTATTAGCACCACACTCTCCCAAGTGAGCCACGGGCCAGTCCCTTTCTTCTTTTCCATTACGGACATTTTAAAGATAGAAATTTCCCTATATCCCTCAAGTTTTGGAATGTAATATTTTCAATCTTATGTATGAACTTTGATCTCCAGCATTTGGAGATTTCCATCTTAAGTCCCTTTGGACAGCTGTGCTTTGTAGCACCAATATGCCACTAGCTTCTTTCTGCCACCCAGCTGTTTTTGTGAATGTGCTAGAGAGTGGATGCCTTGCTTAGCACAGATGTCCGGCTGGGGCCTGTATACAGCAGGAAAAACAGAGGCCACTTCCAATTGCAGGGGATGGTGGGATCCTAGTGTGCATCTCCTCCTGTCTCTAGATGTTCTTCAGACTACACTTGTGCCGTCAGGTGAGCCCCAGCCAGCTGTCCTTTTGAGAGTTTCTCTTATTAAGTCCTTTCAAGTTCATCAACAGCCATTTTTATGTTCTTTATAATGGTTTGCATAATTTGCACAGAGTTTTCCTAATTGATGCTTAGTCTCAGAATAACATGGACAGAAGTTGGTTTGTACTTTATGAAAAGCATGTTTCATGTATTCAGTATTAAAGTACCATTTCATTAAACCGAACAGATTTCATGTCCAGAAAATTAGAGCTTCAGTTATTCTTATAGTGGAATGTGGATCTTATATCATCATTTGGGAAAAAAAGACATTTATTTAATAAAGCCCAGTGAATTTCAAAGTATGAATGATAACCTGGTCAGTGCCTGGCACATAGTAGACATTCAGAAACTTTATTGAAGCACCTGATGACATGTTCATAAAGATGTAAAATGCAGTACAGTCTAGTTTTTTTTTTTTTTACTCTTGAATGTTCTTTCTGTGACATGTAAATTCAGAGCCTGTTAGTAGATTTGAAAACTTCAAAAGCAGGATCCTCTTCTAGTGAGTTCTTGTTTTTTTTCTACTGGGTAGTCATCCCATTGTGCCCTGTCTACCCTGCATACTGATAGGAGTTCTACAAAGCCTGGACAGCTAGCTTATATGGAATATCCATCACTGGACAGCAAGGAAGATAGGAAATGCGTGTCCTATCCCATCTCTGTCCAAGCCTAATGAGGTCATTTCATTAATCTGGAAATGCAAAACAGTACATCCCCTCAGATGCCACAAAGGTAGATTATTTGCAACTCGTGAAGTTATACATGGTTTTATTTTAAATTTTATCCTCTTTCATTGTTAGCGAGCTATCTTAATCCTTTCTAGTGAGGTATTGGCATATTAATAAAATTAAACAGATCAAAGTCCTTTCTCTGTCCTTCTTCTGTTCCAGAGGAAGAGAGGAGTTATTTCCCACTTGTTCCTCATGTGTTCTAGACAACATTCTTTCCCATTCTTCTCAATCCTGAATCCACCAGCTATTTCTCTTCTCCTGCCTCCTTGGGCAAAGTTATTTATCCTCTGAGCTAACTCATCTGTAAAATGGGGTAGTAGTAGTAGTACCTACTTTATTAGACTTCTTTGGCAACAGGATGAAGCAATACACATAAAGTGCTCACCAGAGTGCCTGCTGGGAGTGAGCACACAGCAACTTGCAGACTCTATTCTATGTGAGTTTCTCTGTTTATTCTTCTAATCTTCTCACTCTCAGTTTCTCCTGTCCTTAAAACACATACACACACACCTCCCCTCACTTTATTTCTACTCTAGCTACTAGCTTTTCTAATTTTTCTCACAGCCAGGTACTTTCAAAGTTTGATCTAATAATGTGGGCTAGAAGAAGCCAGACACAGAAGAGAGTATATGATTTCACCAAAATTAATCTACAAGGACAGAAATTAGATATATTTATGCCAGGTACTTTCAAAGTTTGATCTAATAATGTGGGCTAGAAGAAGCCAGACACAGAAGAGACTATATGATTTCACCAAAATTAATCTACAAGGACAGAAATTAGATATATTTATCTCTTGGGTAGAGTGGCAGTGGTTTTGACTGAGAACCCAGAAAGAGTCTTTAACTCAGGAACGTCAGCCTGTGTATGGTGCCCACATAAAGCTCTGTGTGGTGGTCAAAGGACATGAGGTCTAATGAATGATCAGAAATAGTATAGGTTCTCACTGAAGACATTTGACCGACACGGAATGAGAGCACGTGATTAGTATTGAATTTTCCAGGGTAGGTGGTCATGACTCTAGAACTTAATAGTAAGGGGTCAGATACTGAAGCATGCCTCAAAGCCTCTCCTCCCATATATGCTTGCCTAACTCTCACTTCCTTCCAGCCTTTGCTTAATTCTCACCTTATAAATGAAGCTCTGTTCTATATAATAGCCACCCGCTCCCCCAGCACTCCAGATTCCATTTTCCTGCTCTGCTGTTTTCCCATAGCACCTATCACCTTCCAGCACAACAGTATAATTTACTGATTCATTATGTTGATTGTTTATAGTTTGCTTACCCTACCAGACTATAAGTTCTACCAGGGCAGGGATATTTGCTTTGTCCACTAATATATCATGTGTCTAGAATAGTACCTGGCACATAGTAAGTACTTAGTAAATTATTTGTTGAATTACCTGAATGACTGGTTCAGCCAGATGATTTAAAATCAAAACAAACAATAGAAAAGCCTGAGGCTCATAGGGATGGCATCAAAGCACCTTGGTACCTAACCACAGCAGAGCCATTCAGATCTATGCTCTCCTACCAAGGGCAGCAGTCTTGGCTACTTTCCCTGTCACAGGTTTTAATAGCAGACCAATATGATAAGTCAGAACAGTGATTCTCTGTGCAGTTGGCAGTGTAGGCATCTTCATGGAGATAAATGTGAATATTCCATGTTAAGAGGTGGGAGATGTGTCAGTGTACTTGAGTCAATGTCCCCCGTGATCAGGATTTTCTCATTTTCTGAATTTGTTAGACATTGATTCACTTGAAGAGTTGGAAAATAAATACAAATCATAGCTCGAGCAGTGAGAAGATGATCTGTTTCTATGTTCCTCATCATTACTATGTATGGCCCTGACCTGACCTCTTCTCTTCCTTCAGGGTGAAAAGGCTGATAGCTTTTACATCATAGAGTCTGGTGAAGTTAGCATCTTGATTAAAAGTAAGGTGAGTTTGTGTGTGATGGTGTGAGTTAAGCCAGTGAAGATCCAGGTGGCAGATATGCACACAGACAGTAACTGTTTGCTTAAAATAATGTGAAGTGTGTTTAGTATATCAAACCATCATTGTTATGTGATTTATGTGACTGATCAACACGCATGTTTAAGCCCATCCATTGATGTAGATTTAGTATACATCCTCTTGTTCCTACTGCCTTTGCCTCTGTCATGTAACTAATAATATGAAGAATATTGGCCTACAAATCAATAAGAAAAAGATGAAAACCCTAATTGAAAATCGGGAGATTATATAATAAAAAAACACATATGGGGAGTGAATATGAAGAAAGCTTCCTTTTTAGAACACTGCCAGGAGAAGTCCCTAGGACAATTATTATTTGATGGATTGGGTGACCTAGAAAACTGTTGACCTATAAGTGATAGGACTGATCCTTACCAGTAAATCCATCATCACCAGATTTCCCTGTCTCTTTCCTTTTTCTGAGAATACAGGATTTGTTAAAATAGTGAGATATATATAATACTAAATCAACCCAGTGTGTAACATTTTGCAAAATATATTTAGTAAAAGTTAGTAAGTATGGAGAAAGAAAAATATGATTACTGTCTATGAACTAGTTTGATTCTAATTAAAATAGATCTGTTTACATGAAACAATAGCTTGAAACTTCTGTGTTTTTTTACTTACAGTTTTGGACTGCAGATATATGTACAAATATTACTCAAATGTTTATTGACACTTATTATGATCACAGGATAGTGCTAGGCATATTGGACAGTAGCAGCATGACACTCAGGAGTTGCAGGTCTTGTCAGAAATGCAGTCTTGGGCTCTGCCCCACACCAGCTGAGTCAGAATCTGCATTGTAAGAAAACCTGCACTGTGTGTGACAATCTGATAGTGCTGTTCTAGAGAAGAGACTAAGTAGACACGAATACATATGCAGTCTCAGAGAATTCTACAGGTTTTGGAAAGAAAATATTGTATGGGGCAGACCAACTTCAGAGCAAACAGGTCAGGGCAGAAATATGGGAGGAGGAAAGGTCAAACCATGTAAGTTGGTGTGGCAGTTTTTTTAATTTTTAAAATTAACACTCAAAAAGAAAGAATTTTCTGCCCATACCATAAAGTGGTTCTTTGAGATTAAATAGTTTTTTACTTAAATTATTACTTAGCTTAGCAGATGGATTTGTAAAAAATAGGAAACTCTAGATTTTATCAGGATATTGTATTTATACAATTGTATGTAAGTAATGTATAATAAATACATGTAGTATATTATAAAAAATATTTAGTTACTTAAGTCTTCTAAAAAATGGGAGACCACTAACTTAAGGTACAGATAGTACTTAAAAAGAAATTTTGTCACTGTAACATGTTGTCCAGGAAAGAGATGGTCTCAAATCAAGAAGTAACCCAGGGTTGTGGCTTATTACCTAAGAAGAGCATTGTCATTATTTAGAAAGAATTAGCAGAAGGCCTTGTGTTTTCCACTGTGCCTTAGAAGTCAGAATTTCCCAGAAAGAGAATATGAGGGGTTTTCAAAAAGTTGGAAAGATGCATATTATCTTTTAATTTCAGTTTTTCTACAAACTTTTTGAAGTATCCTCGTGTGTAATCTTCCACAGAAAATGGTCTGCACCTTACCTCTTGATGTTTAGTTATTACTGAAAGATGTTAGTATTTGGATGGAGCCCCACGTAAAAGCCAACTCCTCTGACTAAACTACAGTACTAAGATTAGTCCATGGAATTTACATGGTACAATTAGAGTTTCTGCAAAGTGAATCCCTCAGTAATTGTGTTGAGTGTGCTGAGAAGGAATTGCAAATGTATGCAGCTAGATATACCCAACTGTGATCCTGGAGTCAGCCTAGGTCATGTTCTGTACCTGCTGCAGACTAAAACAAACAAGGATGGTGGGAACCAGGAGGTCGAGATTGCCCGCTGCCATAAGGGGCAGTACTTTGGAGAACTTGCACTGGTCACCAACAAACCCAGAGCAGCTTCAGCTTATGCAGTTGGAGATGTCAAATGCTTAGGTAAGAAGAATTCTTTACACATTAATACTTTTTTCCTACTTGCAGTATTTTTCCCCATCAGCAAACCTTGACTTATTCTACCAACTCTCACTCACATCTAGATCGGGACAGTTTGTTTGACCAACCAGAGAAGAGTGAATATTCTTTTAACGTTTCTGAGAACTCACTACAGCCTGTGAACAAGACAGGCATACAGGCCGCCTGGCTACATGAAAAGAGCAGTAGTAGAGGCAGGTGTCCAGGGCTGTGGGGGAATAGGGAGAACAGGTGCTGTTGGACTCTGCTTGTCTCAAACTTAGATGACATAGCCCTACTGAACTCATATAGAAACATCCCTTTTTCTGAGTGCGCCGTATTCTAGAGTCTAATCTCTATAATGCAAGTGGGTATATTTAGGAAAAGGTTCCCACGAGGGAAATGAGTTGTTAGTGTAGAGAATTCATTCTCTCTCTCACCTCTTTTTAACAATGCAGTTATGGATGTGCAAGCATTTGAGAGGCTTCTGGGGCCCTGTATGGACATCATGAAGAGGAACATCTCACACTATGAGGAACAGCTGGTGAAGTTGTTTGGCTCCAGCATGGATCTGATTGACCCTGGGCAGTAGGTGTGTCACATCCCAGAGCCTTCTCGGTGTGACAACAAAACCTTCTGGTTAGCCACAGAAAACAGACATGACAGAACCGTTCCTGCTGTTGCCACCGCCACTGCCATTGCTGTGGTTATGGGCATTTAGAAAACTTGAAAGTCAGCATTAAAGGATGGACAGAGGTTTGACCCACACCTCCACTTTGCTTCTGAAAGCCCATTATTAAGCCACTTGTAATGATTACTCCAACCCAGTTTTCGCATCTTTGGTTCAGAATGGCATGTCTCTCCAACAATTTAAGTGCCTGATACAAAGTCCAGAGTGTAAAATCCTCCTTTCCTGTCTTGCTGCTACTGTTGCTTTTGAAAGTTACCACGAGGTCTGCAGAAACTTGTCATATAACTGTAGATACTCTCCTACAGTCTTTCTCAAGGGAGAAAATGTACCCTTCACTCTTATTTTGTCCTTTGATAAAATCTGCATTTGTTCACAATTGCAGCCTTTGGTTTTATAATGGAAAATGGTGGCAAATGTGATGGATGTCTGTGGTCCAGTGGCATTGTACTGTCTGCTGATAGCTATACACATTCAGCTATCTCCAAACCCACAGTGATGCTTAGGGAGAGGTCCTGACCAGGGCCCAGCAGATCAGCACCCCAGAGTACACTGATACATCAGTGGGATCCATGTTAGAGCAGAAAATTTGGGTTTGGCACATTTTACCAGTAGTAGAGAGCCAGGAAAGGTTTTCTGGGTTGGGGATTTGGGTCTTTTTTATTTTTTAGGAGGTTTTGTTTGTTTTGTTTAATCTCTGTGCAGTTTTTATGAATGAATTGCTACCCATTTATTAGGAGCAAGGGTCTAGAGGTATCATCACCCAAATAACTCTCCTGGGCAACCCCTGCCATTTCTTATTTCCAGTTGTCCCTACCAGCTAATGGGCTGACAAGAGGTTATACTACAAAAAGAGCCCTTTCCTTCTACTCCAGAGGTGTTGTATAGCTTTCCTGTTGCACCCATCAATTTTAAAACTCTTTAGAGAAGCAACAGCTATTTTTTGAAATTAAAGAAAATTATTTCTCGGGGCCGGCCTGTGGCTCACTCGGGAGAGTGCGGTGCTGATAACACCAAGGCCACGGGTTCGGATCCCATATAGGGATGGCCGGTTGCTCACTGGGTGAGCGTGGTGCTGACAACACCAAGTCAAGGGTTAAGATCCCCTTACCGGTCATCTTTAAAAAAAAAAAAAAAAAAAAAGAAAATTATTTCTCTATTTAGGGCAAGGGTTAAGATCCCCTTACCGGTCATCTTTTTAAAAAAAAAAAAAAGAAAGAAAAGAAAATTATTTCTCTATTTAGGGATTACCTCTTGGACATATTCATATAAATGGAGCTTATCAACTGACTCAGACATTCATCATAAAGATCAATTCTCTGTTAGTTTTCAGCAATTGGCATCATTTACAATTTCATAGAATTACTGTACAGGCCTTTCTGATTAAGATGTTGGGATATTTGGGATTCTAATTGTTAATCCCAAAAGAAGGTAATTTAGCTGGTATTTATAACTTTTTTAACCTTTTAATTATATCAGGTAGAATTCTGATGAATTATCCTAATTAACTAGCTATATTAAAGAATGAAATTTTTTTCTCCGGAATGACTTAGAATGAGATGCTACAGGGGATCCTAGGAGCACTGTGAAACTTGCATAAAGATACATTTAAATATTGTAGTCAAGTTTATATTAAATCAAAAGGCTCTTTCCAATATGACTTTTTGTTTGTTTGTTTCTTTTTAACTTGTATGACTCAATAATTCCTTAAGAGATTATTTGCTGGGGCTTGAGTTATTCCTGTTGTGGATAATGATGGAGCCCACAGTCACCTCCCATCATCCACATAAGCTAGGGTCTCTGCTTTTGCCATGGATAGTGTGGCCAAGAGATTTCCAGAGTGAATAATCCACCACAACCTTGGTAATTCCTCCTTTTTTCTTGTGCTTTGTGAAGTGAAAGCAGAAGGACTCTTCCAGACTGCCTTAGGTAGCCTATGTTGGAACTCTCAGAATCGTGAAAGGTTACAACTAATACTTCAAAATAGGCAGCTAGCACTGGGGAAGCCTGTGTGGTGATCCCACATTTGAGGTTCTTTTTAATGGTGTTGCTTTATTATCAAATAAATTCAGAAAGTAGGCTTTGCATTTTAACGGACAAGAACCACACCTGTTTCTTGCAAAGGTAACAGGGACATTGGGCTTCAGGAGTGACACAGAAGTCCAGCCCCAGACCTCATGAGGACTCTAAACACTGAGCAGATGTCCCCCTCCACCCACCACATCAGCATTAGTTAGGGCTGGCTGTGAATACTGTGCCAGAGTCACTTGTACAGGCTGCTAGGAATGGGCCTTCTCATCCTGCCCTCTCACACATCCCAGTCTAGTGTTCCCCTTCACAGAGCCCTCCTTGACACCTCTGACTCACTGATGGTTACTGTTTTACAGAGTAGAATTCATCAAGTTTAAGTCCTCCTGCTCTCTAACTACTGATTAACATATGGATCAGTCCAGACCCTCACTACATACAGGGCCTCTGGGTGGTCTAGCTTCAGAAGGGGAGATTTTAAAGTGACCAGTGTGAAAGAAATAGGTCATTACCACAGTGCCAGGACCTGACAGTGTTCCAGTTCTCTTTGAAGCATGGGAAATCAAAGGTGATAAACCAAGTTCAACTCGGGGCTGTGGTGTCCATATTGTGCCAGGCAAGCCCAGCACTGATGGTTGAACCTCATGGGGAAGAGCATGTGTTGGGAGGAGATCCCTTTATTAACTGTTTTATGTTGTTTTCTTCTATATGTTAGAGCTTCACACCCTCTTTTCTGTCTTTGTTGATTTTGGATGGTAGAGAATATCCCTGAAAGCCTTGAGGTCCAACCTGCAGTATTGTCCTTACTTTGGGCCCCCAGTTTATCCCACCCATTCTCTTCTCTTGATTCTCTGAAGGAAGGGTTCATGTGCTCTTTTCATCTTAGTCAATAGTCTTCATATATAATTATTTTATATATAATTGCTATAGATTCTCAGAAATGAGGGTAGAGCTTTTCTTTGAGCAGTTTGAGTGAATTCAGCAGCAAAGTGGCAAGAAATAGTTTCCAGCCAGGAGGGGTTATGTTCCTCCTCTGATTGCCCAGATTCTCTGCTCACAACAGTGGAATAGTCAGTGAGAGGTGCTACTGGCACCCTGCACACACGTCATTTCATGTTATATCACAGTGTACAAACAATCCTCTGTTTAGAAAAAGGGAAAGTATTTTGCACAGAAAAAAAGGAAAAAGACCCATGAAGGTCATCTTTTATCTTTTGTTTTCAGTTGGCTGATGTTAGAATTTTTGTTCTTGACTTGTACTTATAAACCAACCTTGCCAAGGTACTAGTTGTTTGGTTTTTCACTATGATTACCTCTTTCTTCCTCCTGTCTCAACTGCTGACGTTCCTCAATGATTCTAATGTCTATTTTATGGGAAGCAGCTTCCCCATGGGTTTCCTTTTACACACTGCAGGGCTATCTTTATACTTTAAAAAAAAAAAAAAAAAAAGACAAAAACTGTCACTAACTTCGTGGGAGATTTGCAGAAAACCATTTAGCCCACCTTGAACTATGGGTAGATTCCTCATTGTTTTTTTTAAGCTCATTGTAATAAAAGAAATCTAATTCAGCATTATTGTGCTACCTCAAAGGTAAAAATGTTTTAAGGTCTTCTTTTGGTCCTGAGTTCTACACATAGTGTTTGAAATGTCTTTCAATTTTAATTATTTTTAATCATTGGGGTGAATCTTGTTTTAACCTGTTTTACACTTGTATTTTAATCTCAGAAGAATAAGTGATTGGAAAGCAATCAATTCTTGCTCTGTGACATTGAACATATAATTAAAAGACATTAAGAATTAAATCATTGTTTGCCATAAGCAAGGCTGATTTTTTTAAAAAGGAAACTCTAGGGCTCGGCTTCACTCTTGGTTAATAAAGGCTGACAAATCATGTCTGATTTTCTGGTACAATCTTGTGTCATGTGTTTGTCCTCTTATTTCAGGAATCCAGGTTATCATAGTACTCATCTGGCAGATACACTGTTGGGATTAGAATCATCTCTAGATTACTTATAATAACTAATAAAATGTAAATGCTATGTAAATAATTGTATACTGCATTGCTTATGGAATAATGACAAGAAAAAAATCTTTACATGTTCAGTACAGAAACAATCTTTTCCCCAAAAAAAATTTTTTTGGTGGCCGACAAGTACAGGGATCCAAACCCTTCTTGACCTTGGTGTTATCAAAACCATACTCTAACCAACTGAACTAATAGGCCAGCCCCCAAATATTTTCAATCTATGGTTGGTTGAATCCACAGATGCAGAACCCATGGATTAGTAGTGCTGACTGAATATAGAAACAGATTTATTATAAGGAATTAGCTCACAGGATTATGGAGGCAGACAAGTCCCAAGTTTTTCAGGGTAAATCAACAAGCTGGAGACCGAGGAGCGCCTATGGTTTAGTTCCAGTCTAAATCTGCAGGCTGGTAGGATTGAGATCCAGGAAGAGGTAATGTTTCAGTTTGAGTCCAAAGGTAGGATCACAGGATTATGGAGGCAGACAAGTCCCAAGTTTTTCAGGGTAAATCAACAAGCTGGAGACTGAGGAGCGCCTATGGTTTAGTTCCAGTCTGAATCTGCAGGCTGGTAGGATTGAGATCCAGGAAGAGGTAATGTTTCAGTTTGAGTCCAAAGGTAGGAAAAAAGCCAATGTCTCAACACAAAGGCAGTCGGAGGAGAATTTTCTGTTCTATTCAGACCTTCAACTGATTGGATGAGGCCCATCCCCATTAGGGAGGGCAATCTGCTTTACTCAGTCTACCAATTTAAATGTCTCATCCAAAAACACCCTCATAGAAACACTCAGAATAACGTTTGACCAAATATCTGGGCACCTCATGGTCCAGTCAAGTTGAAACATAAAATTAACCATAAAAGCATGGTATTCAAGTTGTTGGGGGTAGTGTATAAGGATATCCAGTATATCCCTTGCCAGGAATATAAAACTCATCAATGACACCCAGCAGAAAACGTCTCCTGACAGTATTCCTTATATCATTTCCTTCTCTTACCATGGCTGTAACCAGAACTAGCAAAGATGCTGTGACAGCCCCCGATACCTACAGTTTCTTTCCAGGTGACCAAAGGAAGCTCATTCTCTAGCAAAGCCATGTTTCCAGTTTGATCTTGCCTTCATTTGGACAGAAGATGCTGCCTGTACAAAAGGGCTGAGTGGTGGGAACATATGAAATACCCCCCTGGGGCCTAAGAAACTGGTAACTGAACCCTCTCAAAGCCAATCTAACCTGGTTTCAAGGCTTTAAAAATTAAACGTGGTTTGGTTTTAGTGGTGGTATTGCTATGACTCAAGAAGTTCCAGAACAATGTCAAGATCATATCCACAGTCTCAGCCTTGAAGAGAAAAGGTTACATAAGGACTTTACTTTCTGGGTTTTTTGTATATGATGGCTGGCCTGTACAGGGATCCAAACCCTTGACCTTGGTGAACCCATGACACTCTAACCAAGTGCGCTAACCAGCCAGCCACCATGACTTTACCTTCTGTGTTAGTATGTTCTAACAAGAAGCTAGAAATTTGTCTCATCAAAGTTACCTGACTCTATTCTCAGTGATCTTAGCAAATCACTTAATTTTATAACAACAGAATTAAAACAGTATTGCTTATAACGTGGAAGGAAATTGGAGTTGTTTCATGAGGTATCACGTTGAGTATGGATTTTGCTTCCTTTACCCATCCCTTCTAAAGATAAATGCCCTATCACAGATGATAGCCAGTGATACATACTGTTACCTTTGGATATGTGGATAAAATGCAGAATGTTAACTAGGAAAATACAGCATAATCAGTTGTGAATTAGATGAGTATTACCAAGTTCTGAATAAGAATTTCATAAATTAAAGTCTGACTCAGCTCATTTGTTCATTGAACAATTCCTGATGACCAGCTGTGGACATTCCTGACACTGTTTAAACTCCAGGAATTAGCAACAGTGATGGTATTGAGGTTCACTAGGAGATTCCCAGACCTTTCCTCCAGTGCTGATGGAGTTTATCCTCCACACTTCCAGACATGCATACATAGCATCGCTGGTCTCCCATTTCAAGGATGACTGTGTTCCCAGTGTCTTTTGTTGCCCTTCCTTGGTCATACTGCTTTTCTCTCTCTCTCGGCTGTCATTGCCTCTTCATAAAATGGGTGGTCTAGACACACAAGTATGCAATGTCCTTCACTGCTTTACTTTGCATCATGTGATTCTGTTTACAGAAACATCCTGGGGGTGCTATAAAAGGAGAAAGGCTAGATTTAAGATTTGAAGGATTCCCCTCAGGTAAGGACTCCTCAGAAACTGTCATCTTTATGCTGGTCATTCTAAGCATGAGAAAGGCTGGCCAGAGATGCCTTTCTGGCCTAGGTACCTTCTGTAATAACAGATGCTAAGAAGCATATTTTTCTGAATGTGACTTTTGCGTGACATTTATACCCCTTCCTCTTTCAGTTCTTCCCATCCAGAAGGACTTGGTCCTATGGGAACTTCTATTCCATAAAACCAGTTATCTGGCTTGTCTTTCAGTACAACGATACTTCAAAAAGTTCATGGAAAGATTAATATTATCTTCTAAATCTGTTTTTCCATGAACTTTTTGAAGTACCCTTGTATACAGTTATGTAGCACCCAGCCCATTTGTACACCACAGGGCAGAAGGCTGGCCAGGCTGGAGTGTGAAACCAGAGGAGGACGGGGAGCTGCCCCAGACACGAGGAAAGGCAGCAGGACCTGACTGCACCAATCTTTCTATCCTTACAGACAGAAGAATGGGCATTTGCGAGTCAGCTCTTAAGGAAGACAGTTGAAATGTAGGGTACAAGCCTTCTTGGCCATGGGCCTACCCTTCCTCCCTCTGTAGAACTGCACTAAGCCAAGGGGCAAAAGTCACTGTGTACGCTGCTGGAAGCCAGGATCCAGCAATCCCCTTCCTGGCCAGGTACTCCAACCCCCAGGACAGGACAGGTTTTTGTCTAGTAAATAGGTAAAAAGGAGAAAGAGCTGAAGTCCAGACTGACCAGATAAACAAACCAGCACTTTATAGCAGAACATCCAATCATGGTCTAACTGGACATTTTCATTTTGAAACTGCTGGCATGGGCATGAGAGGACACCAGCAGCAGACACTCCCTTGCCTGCTGTGGTCACTGTGTGGGCAACTATAGGGGCGGAAGACCTGAGGCTGAGTCTTGACATGCCAGCAGGCAAGGAGGAGGCCTTTGGGACAGATGTGCATCAGTCCTGGGGTGAGTTGGAACCACACTTGGGCAACGGCACTGCAGTTTGCCACTTCTGCTGGCAAGGGCCGGGCTGTCCCTGTGTTGCTTCAAGCTTCTGGTAACCTGTCCCAGGACTCTGCAGCTGGCGCCAAGCCCAGGGTGAGAAATAAGGCCATGCACAGGCTCAGGGCCCCCACCATTCCCAAATCTCTGCCTGGACCCCAGACTAGGGGCTGTTCCCCAGGCAGCTGCAGCCCTGGCATCACTGGGGTACAGAGCTCTTTCCCAACCAAGGTGTAGCTGGATCGGAGGGCACTTGACCCTCAGACCCTGAGCATGGGACACCGCCCCTACCTCGAAACTTGAAATGGTTTCACCCAGCTGGCAGTTCCTGGCTGAGGCCAGCCAGGCAAGGACAGGTTAGGGCCCTCATCCTGTGCCTCACCTTGCCCCTCTGTAAGAAGGCAGCAGGTTTATAGAGGGGCATCCACCCCTGTTGCCCCTGGCTTTGCCTGCAGGCCTTTACCTACCTGGGCAGGGCCAATGCCCAACTATAATAGAGGGGCTGGTGTGGTCTCTGCCCGTGTGCTCACTTCAAGCCTTGTATTGCAGCAAAAGCAGCCCCCACTCCCTGACACAGAGCTGGCCTTAGAAATGAAAATCAGGGAGGACTAGCCTCGCTTTGAGGAACTGGTATAAGGACCAGCTTCACAACATGCAGGCAAGGGCACATTAAGAGTGAGGGGGTGGGGCCCACTGAGACCAGGCAGGCTTCCAGCACAATAGGAATGTCTCTGCTGGCCCCTCTGGGCTCGGCGCTGCCTAGACATGCCAGGTACAGGGTGTGCATGTTCAGGACGTTCTGGGAATCACATCCACCCTGCCCCCTTGGGATCCTTTTCTTTGTAATTTTCCCATCTTTTGTTCTGGAACAAACTATAGGAATGACTTGCAGCCAGGTCCTCCCTGCATGGCCCACATCCTGGGGCTATGGGGCTTGTGGGGTTGTGGAGCTGTGGGTGGAATTTTCAGAGACCTGAGTCCTGCCCCTGCCCTGTGGGAACATCATGTTTCCAACTCGGAGCTGCATGTCCAGCCCTCCAGCACTGGGGGCCATGGGAAGACGCCAGGCCAAAGGGGGTGGGGAGTGAGCGAGAACAGTCAACCGGATTAAGGAACAGGCAGGGAAGGGGGTTCCTATAGATGTCTGATCCCAGAACAACTTTACCCACCCCCCAGGCCTGGGCCCTGATGGAGAGAAGCGCTCCCTCGATCCCCAGCCAGTGCTTCATGGAAGGGACAGAGAGGGGTAGGGGAGCAACGGCCCGCCCACATATACGCCATGGCCCTCCCTATGATCTCAATCTCAACAGCAGAGTCTCCTCTCGACCTAATCAGACTCTCACCCCCTCCACCTTTAGGCATCCTCTTGGGGGATCAGCAGCCCATCCACATATACGCCATGGCCCTCCCTATGATCTCAATCTCAACAGCAGAGTCTCCTCTCGACCTCATCAGACTCTCACCCCCTCCACCTTTAGGCATCCTCTTGGGGGATCAGCAGCCCATCCCCTGTCAGGGGCCTAGGGACCTACATCCTAGGGATAAGGTGTCTGCTGAGTATCTCCTCTCCATCCTTCATCTCCAGGACCTCACAGTGCTTGCTGCCCTGTCCT